AGTTGTATGTGCCCTCCTTTTGTAGTTGAGCCTTGGTTGCTGTTTGGATATCAATGAGATGGATTGACCCTCAGGCTGATCAGTTGTGAGGACTGGCCACTGACTACAGTAGAGGAGCTATTGTGCAAAGGCTGACCTTACAGAGGAGAATTCACTTTAGGAGAGGTCTAGTGCCTGTCAGTCTGCCCTTTGTATATGTCATTTGTAGAGGTGGTTGTAGGGTGCTCTCATGAGGTCTGAAGCTGGCCACTGGGTGTGTTGGTTCTGGGGCCTCTTGGGGTGTAGGCTCTGTTTCAGGTCAAGGTCAGTTGCTGCCTGCTCTCTGCCTGGGGCCATTTGAGATGAGCTACAAAAATGATCTGAAGATGTTTGCCTCTTGTACTGAGCTTGGAGGTACCTGAAGAGGCTAAGGTGTGAACTGAGGCCAGCTGCTACTACTGCCGGGCTTGGGCTGCTCAGCAAGAGGTAAAGGGCACGCTGAGGCCAGAACCTGCTTGCTTGGGGTTTGTGAACCTTTGAGAGATTTTAGGAAAGTCCATAGCATGAGCCGAAATAGGCCATTTGTATAGAAAAGTCACTAGAAGTGGCTTGGGTAGGCCAGCAAGTTGGGTGGGGTAGAGTCTCAGGGAATCAGATGGCTGAGGAGAATAGTGTTAGCCAGGTTGATGGAGACTCGGATATGGCCCCCACCTACATCTGCACACTGGGTGGAGGGAGAGCTCAACAAAGGAATAATGGCTTCTGCCAGCACTTCTGTCTGGGAGAAAGCTGCCCCTCCGGCCCTCACTATGAAGTCAGACAATTCAGTTTCTCCCTATATGTCCTTGGCACCATTAGCATTGCTGCCCCAGTACTGGAGCTCAGAGTAAGTGAGTCTGTCAGGGAGTAAGTCCGTTTGTGGGCCCTTTAAGAGGAATGCCTGGGACTCCAACTGCCCTCTGTCTCACTCAGCCACAATCTCCACTGTTTTTCACAGCCAGAAGTTATGAAGACTTCTCTCTCCAGCACTGGAACCCTGGTCTGGGGAGTGTGGTGTGGGGCTGGGACCTCTCGCTCCTCCAGGGGAACCTCTGCAGCTGAGATAGCCCTTCTGATTTTTAACTGTTACATGTGGGTGAGGGACCAGACCGTTCTGAGTCTCTGCTCCTTCTACCAGTCTCAATGTGACTTCTGTAAATCCTTAGTTCTAGGACTTCTGTTCAGCTAGACTTCAGGTGATTCTCAATGATGATTATTCTGTAGTTTAGTTGTAATTTTGATGTGATTGTGAGAGGAGGCGAGCACAGTGTTTACCTGCTCTGCCACCTTGACCAGACTCTCACGCATTCTTTTTTTTTTTTTTCTCACACATTCTTAATAGAGGCAATAGGGAGGCAAAAATTTGTTCCTGGAGGTGAAAAAAATGTTACTCTTTTTACGTGTAAAGCACATATATACATACACAATATGGATATATATATACAGTTTATCTATGGTATTACAAGTTCACGGGGAGGTGATTAGGAAAAAATCTGAAAAGACTTCTTAGGATGGGTGATAATGAAATAAAGGTGATAAACACAGCCCTAGTTCAATTTTTTAGTTTCTATTCATGCAACTTCCTCAGAAAGAATGACATGTGTGGCTCTTTTAAACGAGCCACAGAACTAAGCGACTTTATACGTATAGAGGGAAAACATTTGGAAGCTCGCAGAAGCTGAGGATACAATATAAAAGAGATTTAGGACTAATGTCAGCCCCTTGGCTATAACTGCTACACAAACTCAAAGGGACTCAGCCAAGATCACTGTCAGTGGAAGCACCACAATTTCTAAGTAGAAGGGGTTTGGGGGAGGGGTATTCCTGTTGCAAAAGGGGCTTGAAGCTATGTTATGTCACTTTACACAAGATTGAGGATTTTTCAATTATTGAATGTAGTTGACTAAAGCCTTCCAAGTCATTCTCATATGTACACAGTCGAATAAATTTCTCTCTTCTCTACTCCTGAGTATCTTTTTTCTTGAATATGTCTGGCCTCTCACTGTGACCTCAGATCCCACTTGTTTAGAGAACATCACACATCTTGATTGCTTGACATTGCACATTCATGATGCAAAAATATTCTGATCCAGAATATAAAGATTATTTCTATTGCATACAACCAGCTAAAAGGAAAGTTTTAAGATTAAAACTTCAACAAATAAATTTTTTTAAAAGTTTCTCTTTGAAAAATTTTACATCATTTTTCTCCTTAATCTACCAGAGAGCAAACCTTCCTAGGTTCTCAGTTTTGGGAAATGAGTGACTAAAAATCTCTAAGAGTCATTTTCTGTTTCTTACTGCTATAAAAAAAGCCCCATAGATGAGTGAAGGGCAGTTTGTGCTCACAGGAAGCCACATGCCCTTCAAAGGCACCTGTCTTTCTTAGTGCTGTTTCTTGAACAAGAAGCACAGACCTTCCTCAGAGCCACTTTCAGAAAAGCAAGGTAAGTGGGGATCGGAACATTCCCAGGGCTTCGGGCCATGTACAAATTTCTATACAGGTGTGTGGACTTTGGAAGCACTGAAAGCTGGCCAGCCACTCGCCCAGTCTGAACACTCAGGCATCATGATCATTCTAGGGCTCACATTTGGCTTCTATCTTGGAGCTCACACACTATCTGCCTGTACTCACACCCTCCGAGCCCTCATCTGATGGGTATTCATTTATGCAGGGCTCTCTCCCTGCACACATCTGGCCTAAGTCCACATGCTTAGAACACGCAGACAAATTTCATTAAACAATTTTCATTAAACTTTTCTGCTTCTTGGTTCTATTAAGATGTCCAGGTCAAGAAATGCCACACAAATAAGGACTACAGAATAATTCCAAATGTTTATCAGCTATGTTTACTTTTATTTGTTCTTCTGATAATTTCCTAACTCCTCGGCCTCTTTTATTTCTTTAATTTTCACTGGTAAAATGGTGCAGAAAGACTAGAATTGTTATTCATTTAAATAGAATTGCTATTCGTGTAACACTTATTTTTGGAGACCCTGAGATGCACCAGGTCTTCACCATCCATTTGCAGGAGTAAACCAAAATGTCTCTTGAAAAATACAGGGCTTAGGTGTTTGGGCGAGCGGTTGTGGTGGTGGCAGGTAGCGGGTAGATGTGAAGAATTACTGAAGAATGTGAATAAGATCTTAATAAGGAATGTCAGGCTGCCGTTAAGAAGGGAGCAAGAGCAGGTGGCATTTAGTCAGAAAGCCCTATATCTGAATTACTTTGATTCATGTATGAATATGTATATAACTTTAAGAAGATTTTAACCTCATCTGCCAGTTTAGATAGGAAATGAAAGTGGTTGTGAACATGTGTGTAACTTTAAGTAGGTTTTAACGTCATATGCCAATTTAGATAGGAAATGAAGATGGTTGGGGAGGTAGAGATTTTATTTCTGGCTCTGATGTGCCTTTTCTACAACTGTCATGCTAATTCCCACCCTGATTAGATTCAGTGCGTATGTGGTTTTGATGAAAAGACCAAAAATTTCCATCAATTTACTGCAAACTTCTGAAGAGCCTTGACAACAGATTTGGCGCGTTAGTGTCACATTGGCCCAGGAGAGGCTAGCCACTCAGGCTTGGAAGGCCAGGCATGTTCCCAACCTCAGATGACGCTCTAGAGTGAACATGGAACTCGGCAGTGGTGCGCTGGAGCCCACTTGCACAAACTCTCAAGAGCTGATTGTTAAATATTCAGGAATTTTGTAAGGCAGTTGGTAGCTTGACCTTGGCCATGGTGGGAGTGTTTATGCCATGAAAACCAGCAAAAGCCATAAATCAGAGAGAGCCCTTGCACTGTAAATCCCCTAGACGTGGTTTGTCAGCATATTACTGGGACTTGGAGCCCAAAGACCAAGTTCTGTACAAAGCTGTGTGGTCTATGGAAGTCATTTCATCTCTCTGAATCTTTCATGTGTCACCTACACCATGGCTCAGTATGACTGCTTGGCTTAGACTATCAGATTTCTGTTGGGGGTGGTGGGGCTGTGGGGACAGTAAATGGATAATACTGGTGAACGTGCTTTGCAATCTATAAAGTGCAAAGCATGCAGGAGAAATTAGAATTTTTCTATAAAGGCAAGTGACCGTCCTGATTTCCTTTTAGCTTAATGATTAAATAAGCAATTACTGAATTTTTGGAGTTACAGTCTGAAACATGAGTAGATTTTTTTAATCTCTTTTTTTTTCTTTTATGTCAGAAAGTCTTTCAGTGCACTGCTGTTGGGACTATCCACTGGTCTTGTCATTCCTGCAAGTGACTTCAGTAACTCCAGATTATTTTTTAAAAATATATACATGAAAAATACCTCTTTGGGAAGGTTTTACTATCCCCACTTACATATTAGAGAACCGAAGCTCCCAGCAGAGGGGTAATACAAGTGGCAGAGACGAAATTTGGAATGTGTCTGACCCCTAAGAGCGAGATTATTTCACTTGGCTGCACTGCCCTGCAAGGAACAGAGCCCTGCAACTTGGGAAGGTTGGGAGGGACGTGGAACTAGCTGGGGCAAAATATTAAGTAGCTGTGTTCTGCATTCAGGACTGTTTTGATTTGTTTTTGTTCTTAAAGAAAATACAAGTGGCAGAGACGAAATTTGGAATGTGTCTGACCCCTAAGAGCGAGATTATTTCACTTGGCTGCACTGCCCTGCAAGGAACAGAGCCCTGCAACTTGGGAAGGTTGGGAGGGACGTGGAACTAGCTGGGGCAAAATATTAAGTAGCTGTGTTCTGCATTCAGGACTGTTTTGATTTGTTTTTGTTCTTAAAGAAATCTCGTTTGCTCTTTCC